TTTTGTAGCAAGGAGATCGTGCTCACATTGTCCTCAAAAATTTTCTTCATGTCCTCAAATTGAGAGTTGCAGAATTTCAACGCAGAAGTGAAGAGATCTTATCGTTGAAATTTTTGAATGCCTCTGATACGATCTCATTTAAAGATTTTTTTAAGAAAGACTGAAACATTTCGTGCAATTCTTCCCTAACGATGGCACGCAGAGTATCATTGGACATCACACTGTGCTCAGGACTCGGCAAGTCGTCAGAGCTTTTGCGACGATTCTTATTTTTATTACCGTCTCTCAAGGTGACGTTAGTCGCATCATTCGATGCTACTGTGCCCGGGCGAATAGGGGTATTTGTATTATCCATTTTAGGTTCCGAGCTGCGGCATTCTAAGCATTTCCATGACTGCTTATTTTCAATGGACATTAGATAAAATCGCTTAATGGAAACGTTCGCACAATGCAAGTCATAAACCAAGCAGCAGATACAGCATTTCATGCCAGTGACAGCGGCCTTACAACCGGCACAGTTCTTAGCCATTATTCCTTGTAGATAACTCCTAATATGTAGGTACTAAAAACAATCCAACGCTAAGTAGTCGGAACACAGTACACGGCGAAGCACGGTGAGGCGAGCTCTCGTCGAAAAGGGCTTAAGCGCCGTGCAGATAGCGGCGCTTACGCGTTCGGCCGGGTCACGCACGATCGAGTGTCATGGAGTCACAATGAATGTTATGATTTCACAGTTTACCAATATCAACAAAAAACACAGTCTTGCCCTATTAATTCTATTAAATTGAGCTATACACGACACTAATTGAACTTCACACACCTTATTTTGCTAAATTCAGACATGGAACTGTACTTTAGACTTCGAAAAGGAATAAAAAAATGCGGAGAGATTGTCACCGCATGTTACCATGTTAACACCTCCTATACACAGAACTTACTTGTATAGCGGCAAAGTATAACAGAAACGCTTGTTCATGAAAACTAAATCAATCTAATTATACTATTTTAACTAAAGTAAGCTTTGCCTCTTTCTGTTAAATTGTGTTTACGATGTGTGTGTAAGAGACAGAAGAGAACTTAACAAATAAGGTTGTATATTCGAAGCTTCAACTGCTAATATATTTGTCTGGTATGTTATAACATAATTTTATATCACGTACACTTGTCACGATGCCGCAGGTTAGAGAATAATTGGCTCAAAATTGATCGTTCCCACATATCATTGTCAAGTAATGGCAAGGTAAGAGGTAATTGTTACTAAATTATTAAGAAGCATGTCAGACTCAAGAACGTTGGAGAATTGCAAACAATTGCCGCGTTTGGATATATTGTATATGTTCGATTGTAGAGGATTTAAGCCCGTGTGTTTCCGAAAATATAATACAAATTTTTTTTAATATAATTTCATTTTAGGTTTTAGGTTTTTTTAGGTTTAAGAATAACTTTATTTCTCATAAGAATTGAAAATTCACTTACTGAGAAACACATATTTAAAACTAAGATTAAAAATTAGAGCGCACAGATGTAGGTACATATATAAAATAAGAAAACAGAACAGCACCAAAAATGTGGGTAGACATAAATAACTTGGTCAGTCAACCAAGCGAAACACGGATGTTAGAATTTAATTTTTTTCTAGATGAATGTTAGAATTTAATTTCTTCATTTCAATTAGTTAAACATAGTCGACTCAAATATAGTCTTCCCTCCAACTTTGATTTTGTTCCCTTTGGACTAGAGACTCTTGGGCCGTGGGGCTCACTGCACACTGCACAGGCATGTAGATAGTACCAGTGATCCCAGACCTTGTGCTTTCCTCGTCAACGAAGTCGTTAAAGGGTCACTGCCACAGGGTCCAAACGTTTTTAATTTGTTTTTATTTATCAATGTTTAATTATTATTATTATTACTTTGTAGGTTAAGAATATTGTAAATATATATTTGTGTGTTGGAAATAAATATTTATAGTCAAAATATGTTGGTCCTAATCTTATAATCTCCATGGTAAATGCGATAGAAGATGCAGAATCTTCCACTATTACTACATTACACAGCAAAATCTTTCCCCGCGTCACTCTTATAACAAAAAAAACCTAAAAGCTGCACGGAATTTCACACGGTTTTCACCAGTCGCTAGAGAGATACATGAGGAAGGTAATGTTTTCTTTTATTAAATGATTTAGAAATAAATTATTTTATATTGAGTAATTTATCACATGGTTTATTAGTCATTAGATATTACGATCGGCATTTGCAATTTAATACTTATAAGGAAAAGCTTGTTTCATTAGAACACTTTCTCTGAGAAAGCCCGAAATATAAAATATATATGGCTGCCGCCAGGCAACATGATTTTTTTAAAAGTATATGCACAAACCGAACTTCCTTATATTTTCATATGTTTTTATATACATCTATATCTATTTATATAGAAAAACTAACTACTCGTGTCTGCCTTTAAGGCTGATGCTTAGAAAGCTTGTCAAACTGAAAAAAGTCAAAAAGGACTCTGACTTTCCAAGTTATGAATTTTTAAAGTAAAGAATATACAGTGTAAACTCCATGTTATGTCCCACGATTTACCGACTAACCCCGTAAAGCGTTGAAATCATTTACCTTTGGTTGGTTCAGCTTGTCTTCCATCCCTTGGGTAGAATGCCTAGCGAACCCCGAGGGCCCATATTAAGGGCGTGTAAAGGGCTGAGGTGTTTTTAGTCGGTGGGGTCTCGCTACCCCTCTGAATAGCAGAGGGATTTGGGTGTAGACCCAGCCCCACAGTCCCCGCGTCAAGCTCGACATCCTTGATGCGGGCCTGCGTAAGCGCATTGTCTATTCCAGCCCATTATAAACTCGACTGTCGGTATCACGTACCGAACTTACAAAAAAAAACCACCAAAATACCGAAAAAGATACAATCTTATTCTTCAAACACCAATTTATTTTGCGAAATTAAAATTAACATATATTACAAATGAATCACAATAGCACCTGCGTACATGGCGTTTATCTTCCATTGTTATTAAAATAATTTTCTTTGTATAATATTTCGTACTTGACCCGTATTTGTATTTTATTTCTGACTTCACAATCGCACTAACATTACAGAATATATTAGACAGTGAGCACGAAAAACACAATTTTTTCAATTATTTTATTAAACTACCAATGTTGGAAGAATAAAATAAATCAGTGGCGCTACAACCTCTTTAGGTCTTGGCCTCAGATTTCTGTATCTGTTTCGTGTTCATTTCTAATACGCAAGTATCCTTCTGTGTCTGACACAGGAACATCCGTGTTGTGCGTTAAACACTAGCCTTAAATGTTGACAAAAGAATTATTCTTAAGTCTATGATCGGGTACTGTTACAAATATTCTGTGAAATTGTCGATAACGGTATGTCGGATGTTCACAAGCGGTTATTATGAATAAATTACATTATTTATATTATAATTTGAGGAAATTATAGTAATTTTCCTTGAAGATGCCAATTCTATATTTACTTAACCTTTCGGGTCTAGCATGTGTTAAATTTTAGCTTGCAATTCTTGCACTCACCTTATTTTTTATGTATTTAAACAACCCCACATACACACTCTCACATACATACCTTCACGTACACACCTTCACGTACATACCCTCACTTTCAAACCATCACAAAGCACAGCCGAATTAGGTACGTATTACATAGGTACTAAATAATTTTTTCCTTTCATAAATATTTGCACCTTTTTGTATATATTATGTATTCTATCTTCGGCTATAACTTTATATGTTTTTTGTTTTATACAATTTATGTTAGCTGTAGGAATACGAAGTAAATAAATAAGTGGTCGCCTGGATGACATCGTTCGAAAGCCTTATCACTGATTTTGGCGACGAAGTGTCTAATAACTAAATAAATTTAAATTGTGATTTGATTTGCTAATATAGTTCGAATACTGCGCGTGCGTTTTTGTTTAAGAAATAGTTTGAAACATCTAAATGTACAGATGTGGTAACCCATAATAGTAAGATAGGAAATAATATATCGAAAACAAAACCGTAGAAATTAGTAGTAGTACGTACGTCGTACAATAAATGCAATGTCATACGAATGTCCCCAAAATTTTAATAAAATTTTATTATTAATTGAATTTCGTCAAAATAACCTTAATTATAGAAATTCCAGTGATATTTATTTACGATTTTTACATAAATGAATTTATGCAATCGAAATACGCAATTGACTCGATCGACCACAAATAATTTAAATATTAAAAGACTTAATACTTTTTTTATTTCATTTGATTCGATTATCGAAAGGCGACTTGCTATTGACACATCGATTTCGATTGGTCCACACCGCTTTGCATCCAACCCATCCACCCTCACCCGGTCTTCTGGCCACCTAATAAGAGGCAGTCCAACGCATCGTCGACTGGTCCTCGGGCTCCATTCGAGGTTTTATTTGCCCCATCGGCCATATGTTCTTCGAGGAATGTGCCTCACCCATTGTCATTTAAGCTTATACGCCTTTTTGCTATGTCACATCGAATACTTTGAAGAATTGGAGTCGTATATATGTGATAGACAATGTTATAAATACTTTCGTTTCGCCTTACAATCGTGGGTTGACGCGTATTTGAATCCAATAAATGCATTAAGACTGTGACCGGCTTTTTTAGTCCCCACTGCCGCCAACCTTGCGCGGTCTGAAATTGACCTAATAAGTTTTGGAATTCAGAATTCAAAGAAGATTACCCCAGCTCCTTTGAAAATTGACGCTAGAAGGTAAACTTAAGGGCGGGCCGGATGCTAACCACGCATTTCTTGCTTCAAATCTTTGAGTTGTAGAATAAGATCTAAGGGTTTTATGTACCAGACTGCTATCTTTGTGAGCAGTTGAGAGAAACGCTGGACTTCTTGTGCAACCTCCTGGTTCCTCTCTAACCCGCCAAAGCGAATAGGGAGCAATGCTTGATTCCAAGAAGATGTCTCTATCACCTTAAATTTGTATAATAATGTGCTTTCTACAATTGCAGGCAGCCAGCGCGCTTTTCACTCTGGATGGTGCGAAGGGCGAGGAGCTTTCGAGACGCCTTGCTCGTAGGCATAAGCAGCGCAGACGTTGCCGCGTTGCTCTGGCGTTGATAGCGTTACTGTTGCTCCTGGCTGCTGTTGCTGCAGTGGAATTACTCATGTCGAGGGGGCAGAGGTTATTTGGGGCTGTTTTACGTTAAGTAAGTATTACAATACTCATTCTGAACTTACCAAACGAGATTGATCTCAATGCAACAACTAGTTCGGATCCAGAGACAGATATTGTTTTATTTTGAAGATCTCTATTAATGACGCATAAATCACTACTTAAAGTTGTACAAGAAAGTAATAAAACCTAAATAATATTACTGCAATATACAAGAAGTTATATGTTTCTTATAATATTCTGTAATTTTTTTATGCAACATACTAAATCAGTGAATGAGTTACCCTATTTAAAGCACTTATTTGTTTTCATTTCGTTTACACAATTTGACAGAAAGATACGAACATTTACACAATATTTTATTAAAGCCAACTAAAATTCAACTACGTTTTTTACCCTGTATTCGTATACAGTATACGCACCAAGACTCCGCAACTATGCAGATCAGTTGCCCTTAACGAAAAATATATCAATATATGCAGAAATGTTGCCGGCCCCATTAGGGGGTTACGGAACAGACAATCATTACTTTATCCGTGATTTAACATCGTTTTTGTTTCAGCAATGTGATATGCAGGCCAAGAACAAGGATTTCGTTACAAAAACTATAATAATTGTTTTCATTGATGTGATGGTATTGAAAATTTAATAATGAATTATTTGTCTCAATGCCAATTAACTATTAAGTATTATCTAATTTAATAGACGCAATGATATTCCATATAAAATCACCTCCGTACTTTCTCTTATCTATGTACCATATCCACTGTCCGCTTCGCAAGAAGTATAACGTATTTAATAACAGTTAAGATAGAATATTGGAAAATAAATAAAGACATTTTCTTTTGCGAACTAGCGAAGTGTAGAATCCTCTCCCGGTGGGGGTGATATTCTTTATACCTCAAATTGTATAAAGAAAGAGTTATACTCCTCCCTCGAAGGCCGACCCACTTAAATGGGTGTCTATGGACTGCGATGACTGTCCTTTTGGACGTTCCGTAGGCTCGAAAAAAGATGGAGAAACCTGCAGTCTTACTCTTTCATCAATATCGGAATTCGCTTTTCCAAGTTACGCCAATTGGGTTGTCGTTAGTGGACGCATAATTTTTTAAATCTTAATTATTTTTTTAACTTAACTTTAATTTCATCATGAATTATTCTGCTGAGTTTAGATGTATAGAAAAAACGTTAAATTGTAATGTTTTATGTTAAGTAAGGAAATTGTAGGGCCAGTCGGTTTGATTCTTTCCGATTAGCAATATCAAACTTTTAGTTAAATGTATAGTGTTGATCTGAAATATATTTTTGTTTCATTACCTATTTATTTTGATAATGAAAACAATTCAGAATAATAAATTCAGAGACAGGTGGTGTTCTAGGTTTATTACAAGTTTCCACGAGTAATTGGTGTCGGCATTTTGATTGTATATGTTGATTTTAGGATTTAATTTAAAAAAAATTGACAGAAATATTAGAGGAATGTAATCTGAGTTCCTGCTTATGTGATTTGTGATAATTTAGTATTAAGCATTCGAATTATTAGCTATCCCATGAAACAATGGAAAATTACCGATGTAATGTGATGGTGAAAAAAGTAGTATAAATGTAAATTCTTTTAAAATTTGGTTAGGAATTTTGAGTATTTAAAATGTGATAATTGTATTTAATATATTATGTTTAGATGATATTATCAATCCGAATTATTTGTTAGTAAAATATAATTATTTTTAAGAAAATTAGTTTTTATAAGCCGTTTGGATAATTAGTTTAATTTATATTTTAGTGTTACTCGTGAACCGCAAACTATGTTGAAACCACACAAAATCCGTGAAAATAGTTGAGTTTATCGCGAACAGACACTGTTGATAATTTTATATTCTGTATTGATGTAAATGATTTAAGAAACTTTGTTGATCAGCTTCAGTTTCCGTCAGTTGCTCAAAGTTTATAAGTTATCGTTGTCATTAATTTGTTTAGAATACACACCAAATGACAGTGAAACATTTGTTTGTCTATGGTATTTTTTTATTAGATAAAGTGTGACGCTAACTTTCTGGCGTCATAAAGGGCCTACCATGACTATAACAGCAAAACTTATGAAATTACTGAATTTTTCATGCATGAGATCGAAAGGTAATAAAACAATCTTACTGAAGTAGCCATGGAGTCAATGAAGATGTAATCAAATTCTTTGTTTAGATAATAAATTATTATTTTAATTACATTATAAATAAATTAATTAATCAGTGGCGCTACAACCTTTTTTAGGTCTGGGCCTCAGAATTCTGTATCTGTTTCATGATCAATACAATAGGCAAGTGATATAATAGGCGATCAGCCTGTGCCTGACTTATGTGGGCAAAGGCAAGCCTGTTTCCTCACGATGTTTTTCCTTCACCGTTCGAGCGAATGTTAAATGCGCACATAGTCCATTGGTGCACAGCCGGAGATCGAACCTTCGACCTCAATGAGTCGCATGCTGAAGCTCTATTAATTACATTATATATATGTTAAAACAATATAGAATTTTTGTTCTATATATAAATGTCGGAGCTCTTTACCATCACAATAATTGTTTTTGGTGATAATTTCGAATTTAGTTTTAATTTTAAAAGTGCCAGATGTATATTAGTTTTAATGTCAATATAAAAATGTATTAATTATTTTACACTTACGTCAAAATTCAAATTTCTATTAAATTTTTGTTAAATTTTAATCAGTCTTTGTTTACATTAATAATAAAATATGAATAAAAATTATTTGTTTAATTACACAAAAATTTATTCGTACAGTTTTGCAATAGATTTCACGTAATTAAAATAATTAACATAACTTATATAACATACAGAAGCAATGTTATTATATATTTAAACTTTAATCACTTCCTGCATAGACAACTCCGTCTATTTTCTGGTCTAGGTCATTCATGGGCACCTTATCTAGAACCTGACAGTTGAAAGCTACAGCCACGACCTGTGAAAAATCACATCAGAAGTGAAAGAAATGTTCAATTCATACGTTTTCATATATTTCATAATTAGTTATAATGTCTGAAGTCTCATAGTCTGTGGACATAGCAGATTTTCCATAGACATAGACATAACATTATTAAAGAAACACACAAAATAATAATAATAATAAAAAAAAGAAAACACAACATTTTTCTTCAAGAATAAGATACATTTTAAGTGTATAATGTGTGTGTGTTGTGATTAAAACAGGCCCTGGCTCAGCATTATGCTGTGAAGCAGACGTGTTCCACAGCGCTGGTCATTCTGCTAGAGACCACAACAGCTAGTTTGCGCCTCAGACGCAAAAAAAAGAAAAAAATAATAATAATAATAGTTGAAAAATATTGATATATTTTAAAACATAGATAATATTTCTTACTAAGAGTCCTTATCTCTTATCTTTTGTACAAAGCTTATTATTAAAGGCGTTAATTCAAACCATATCCATTAATAAAACTTTGTACTTTGTACTTCTTCAAGTAAAGAGCGAGCGTAAAAGTGCCAGATGTGTATATAGTTAATAAACGAAAATAATGAGTTCTATACAAGAAAACCCGTTCCAATGTGATAAAAAACATAGTGTTTATTGTAAAATATCATGATTAGTACATATTATATCGTTTAGATTGGAAGTAACCATTTAAATGGACACGAAAAATGCAATTCGAAGAGGGAAACGTCCCTTTGAAGTGCTCGAATAACATTATTACGCCAAAGAAGTATCACTTCTAACGCGTGTACATAAGTACAAAAGTTTATTATTTTGAATTCCATAAAAAGCTATAAACTGCGTGGGACCCCGCTGTTACGAATCCAGTAAAATCCCGCGGGATTGGAAATTGTGCGGGATTGCACTATCGGATCCTCATTTTTAAGCCCTAGTTTATGTTCTAGAAGTTAACTAGTCACATTCTAGAAGTTTTTTTTATGCAGGAGGCAGACGGGCAGGAGGCTCATCTGATGTTGAGGGATAACGCCGCCCATGGATACTCGCACTGCCAGAAGGCGATACGGATGGTATTTTGTATTCTGCCTTGACGTCCGATGATGAAACTCAGCTGCAGGTATTAGTCCGAACAACTAAAAAAACCTTAAATAAATGGTGTACCTACCTTAGGAGCAGTCTTAGGGTTAGACCTCAAGTTGGCTATGTATCTGTCGTAGTAGCCACCTCCATGACCAACTCGACCACCTTCCGGGGAAAACGCCACCCCTGGAGCGATGATTAAATCCAAACCTGAAAAGTAAACAATTAAAGAGTCCTCTAAAAATATTGCGGGCTTCGTATAGAGTATGTTACACCCTTTAAGCTAACATGTTCCAAAATAATATCAGCGATGCCAAGATTTAAGCTGCAATACAACTTGGCGAGTAAAAATAGTGTAGTAAACGCCCTTGATTGGAGAACTGGCAGTATATGTAAAATTAGAAGCATTTCATGTATTTATACTTTTTTTGACGTTCATAAATGTACATTCTGTTACCTATATGAATTATGAATACAATTTGAGTGGAAAATATATCTGCGAAACAATTTTAGGTTATTTTTAAGCCCGAGTTTCTGACATAGGTCCAATTTGGAGACCAAAAGTCCGGTGTTGGTTAGGCTTTAAATTGACTCTAAAGGACTTTTAATAAAAAAGATACAAAACCCTCTTCTACAATTGTCTGAGATACAGCAAATAGTAGCAGTGGACACGTTTCGAATACGCCAGTGAAGTTTTTTGAAAGACAGACAGTAACAGCGTACGACGGTAGCGTGTTGTTTTTAATAAAAAAAAAATCTCATGTAAGTGACATAATTATGTTTTTAATGAGAATAAGCTTCTTTCTAGTTAAGTAGAATTTATGTTACCATAACCTAAAACTGTTAGTGCAATGTTAGCCTAGTGGCTTTAGCGTGAGACTCTCAACTCTAACGTCGTAGGTTCGATCCCTGGCTGTGCACCAATGAATTCGCTCGAACGGTGAAGGAAAACATCATGAGGAAACCGGCTTGTCTTAGACCGTAAAAGTCGACGGCGTGTGTCAGGGACAGGAGTCTGATCACCTACTTGCCTATTAGATTGATCATGAAACAGATACAGAAATCAGAGGCCCAGACCTAAAAATGTATTTAATCTAAAAGAACTTCGAAACACACCCGCATCTAGACCATCTTCCCGTTTCTGGTCCTTCGAGTGTTGGGCAATCCCATGCCTGGTCAACGGCATAGCATCCTCGTCACCCGCCTCCAGCTTCAGCATTCTCATGATACCACCAGCATACTGCGGCACGAACGCTGAACCACCACGGGATTTGATGTGGGATATAATGGGTGCTGTGTTTATTTCTTGATCTGTGCTCATGAATATTGCGACGTGGTTCGCAGTCTTGTAGTATGGGTGGTTGATTATCTGCAAAATGGTTGTGTTGAGGGTTCACAACTTGGCGTTTTTTGAGGCAGTTTCTGCCGCTAAAACCAGCTGCCCACTGAAGTATTTCCGAACAATTTCGACATTTTTTTTCAAAAAAGACCGTACTAAACAAAAGGCCGGCAACGCACTCGCGAGCCATCTGGCATTGAGTGTCCATGAGCGGCGGTATCACTTAACAGATGAGGCAGCCGTTTGATCTATAATCGATTTTCAACTTGTCTATGGAATGATAAAATAAATTTGATGCAATAACCATGAACAATAGAGGGTTGTAACTTCCGGAGTTATATTCACCATATGAACCAGCTAATTGGTCACTTATGCTTAACAGATTATATGAAAATAGTGTATCAGTTAATCTTGATAATTGCGTAAGTAAAATAAATTATGTCGAGGAAAAGTTTATATTAACACAATAATATCATCATAATATACAGAGGTTAATTTATAAGTGATAAGACGTTTGTTATTTTAAACTTTCGTATACACAATAAAATGGATATTATAACAAGACCTAGGTAGACGATTTATTTATAAATATGTACTTTAATATCGCCTTTAATGGAAATAAAACTTAATTTCTGCTAAAGGTTGTTCATTTTTTTAATAAAACAGATGGCAAACTTTTTAATTTTAATTTAGACACATTAGAATGCCGGCGGAGTCAGCAAGAATTTTGCACGATATTCTAAATGGGCGGACAGTTAGCCCCTATTTGTTATCGTTAATTTCTCTAAGAATCCCTCCACCGAATGCGACATGATAGTGACACTTGACAATTGACAAATCCATGTGCCTAGTACGAACACGAATTATCTGCATAATTCGCCAATGTTTCGGGTTTTATCTATGACATTAATTATGATTATGTTGATATTTTCCACCTCACCGAATGTGAGGAAATATTTGAAGAGGCGGGAAGACTTTGACTTTGTTTAGAAGTAACAATTTTTTTTTGAATTATTAAGTATTAATTGTCGTTTGTTTAATGTTAAACTTCAGTTTTCTTTCATTTTTTTTTCTTTTTTACTTATGTTTTGGCTTTGTATATTGTCTGAGTGTTTTGTTTTATAATATGTAGATTAGCTGTAAGATTACTAATAAATAAATAAATAAAAAAATAGCAGGTTGCCTTCTGAATAATCCCCATGGTATATGCGGTAGAAGATGCAAAGAGACCCCACACCTCTACGCAAATTGATCGAGCTGCGATTCTTTAACTCACTTTTCGAACTCACACAGCGGTTTTCTGTCAGAATTGACAGGTTGTTTATCAGTATGCCAAATCATAAAATGACTGCTTCACGACTGATTTGAGAGCGACCGCCGATGCGAAAACCGCTGTGTGAGTTCGAAAAGTGAGTAACAGAATCGCAGGGCTGCTCGGAATGTGACTGATCGTCGATCTAAATCGCTCTTCGTTGAAGATGGTCAAGTTGAAGGAGCTGGTACTGAGGAGCCCAGAGGTGAGAAGAGTACTCTATATGAGCCCGAATTTGCGCTATAGAGTTGCAAGCGCTGGCCCAGGTTGAAGTACCTACTGTCTTAGGTGAAATGCGGTGCCAGCTTTTCGGGACAATGTCAAACGAGTACAGGTGCCAGGAAAAGGCGTAGAGTGGATGGCAGAAAGCATGACGTTAAAGATATCAGTTTAGAAGACTCTGTCGCATTAAGAAATAATAATATCAAGATTTTGACTTAGTCTTTATATAATATATAGTTACCTTATTAAATACAATTTTGGATTGTCGTTCTTTTTCTTCTGTAGTCATTTTGGCGATTGCATCCGCTATCTGCTTGCGAAGTTCAACCTTTGCTGGATCCGGGGTTCGGGCGCTCATTTTGCCTGAATTAAATGTTTAAGCATTGGATTTGTAACCAGTATCTAACACTCTAAAATAGCAGCTATATTATTGAGAGACTAATCAAGAGAATCTTTTGTAAACATGCTTCGAAGTCCTATATTCATGTTCAAGCTAATTTCACCCAAATTTGAATGTACTAAAGTCGCAATTGCAATGCGTAAAAACATTTTTATATTTATTTTTATAAGACCATTCAAGTCGGCGAGAGCGTATTATGTCAGCTTCGTATCATATTATGACAAAAATCTATTTGTGACGTTTCCAGTGTCTGTTTCCATTTTTATCGTCACTTAAACTAAGCGTGAAATGACAGCTAATTTCGTTTAATTAACTAGAAGCTAACGTGTGGTATAAATTATAATTTCTCTATATAATTGAATTTAAATTATTTATAAGTAAGACCTGCGTGATCCGATCCGATAAATCTTTTAATACTAGTTACATACATTGTGAAGTAATAGATAAATACACTTTTCTCAATGTTTACAAGTTCATAAACAGGTTCAAATCTTTAACTTACCGTTGCGTTGAGGCTCGTTTTTTTCTAAGAAATAGGCGAATAATAAAATATTACGTAAAATACAGTATTTAAAATGAAATTAAGCAATCTTACCGACAGTTCTGTGCGGAATATCATTAACGTTTGTGGAACGAAACTGAGATAACACACGATACAACTTTATCGTCATTTCTTTACATAAATAACAAATTTGAATGAACGAGAACGCTAAACCGGTCTGATAGCGCCATCTGTGGAAGAACCTAAGAACTTTTATAAAATATTAAGTTAAATACAGCGCCATCTATTCATTTTCTTTAAAAACACGTGTAGACACAAACGCTACTACATAAAAATATGTAAAGTCTAGAATACATGTTAAAAATTATTAATATATTTTCACTATACACTGTACCTGTAAACCCTAATGACGTCATCTAAAGACGAAACAAAATTTCCAATTAGATCTACGTAGTACGAAAACTTAACCTAAAACTTACCTAGTTGGCACTTGCATTTCCAGTTACCTACAGTCTTTACGACAAATGATCGATTATTATATGCGCAATAGGTGATACATTATTAATAAATCATATTATATGATACATTATATTAAAACTGAAACGATAAATTTTAGTAGTATTAATTAACACCAAGGAAATAAGTATTTTAGAAAATATAATTACATCGCGTTTTATTTTGTGATTTGCTATTAAAAAAATATGTACCTTTTATTTTTATAACTAGCTGATTTTTTCGATTTGTTATCAAAACCAATTTTTTTTCAAATGCGACTTGCTGTGCTCTGCGGTACCTTAATTATTCGATGGCGTAATACTCGTGATAAAAGACAATCTTAAAGATTAGGATTAGGTTAACTGACTAAAAACTTCAGAAACAAGAAATTCAATTAACCGTTTTATATGAAATCGTGAGACACTTTATGAAAATATTTGCGCCTGATAATATGTGGAGGTTATTCATTCAGACCCATTTTTGACATTCCAAATATATAAAAAATCAAATAGATATTATAATGAACAATTAAGAGAACTTTTAAAAGGAATAAAAACCAAATTTTTTGACATAATTTCTTTGAAAAGTTATTAATTAAAGTGTAGGTTTTATAACATATTAGTACAAAGACTAAGGATTTCTAGTGAGGGTCAGTATCTGATATGACCTCAATGTTCTTACCTCTTTGTTTGCTTAAAAGTGGCAGGGGGAGCCGTTAACAGCAGCTTGCGCCTTGCGGCCCGCAGTACGCAACAATTGCCAGGCGCTCCGATGACCCACGTACGTCGTTTGCCAGCTCCTACTCCGTAGTCGGGCGCTAGCCATCATCTGTGGAGGGTGTGTGTCACACCTTCAAGCAAACCGAAACTTTCTTACGTCAAATCAATGGATATAACCTAACAAATCGCGAGTTACATTATAAAATGTGATTTCCTCCCACAATTCCATATGGGTTAAGTGTTTATGTGACGTGATATTTGCCAATAATGTGAATTAGTTCAGTGCAGTGGTTATAAAAAACCAAGTTATGAGCATTCAAAAGTGTCTTTTGGATAACTCCAGTAGGATGATAAAGGCAATGTCAAATGCTAAGTCGTCTAACAATGAAGTTAAAACGGTAAGTGGTTGTACACTGTACAGTTTAACCATTGTTAAAGTGACAAAGAAGTTTGAAAACAAATACGAAATAGGTTATGTGCGGACTGCAATAGTGACGTTTAGGTTATAAACTCCGAAATTGGTGTTTGGAATAATTATAAGATCATATTCACATATTTAAACAATACTTAATGCGAAACAATTCCTATGTCTATTAATATCTCTTAATGACTCTACATTTATAAGATCCCACGAACCGTGTTCAATAAGTTTCTATTGATCCTATATTACCAGATTGTTTGGCATTAACGGTAATCGTTGAATGTTTCGGTTTTCGTCATTTAATTAGTGCAATTAGGTTTAATTACCGTTCAATGAACTCACTTGACCCTAATTTTATGTTCACATAAATACAAATTTTCGCTTAAAAATTGAATACATACTGGTACGGCTGATAGAAATAAGGATCGCTAGTTTTCTTGTTGCGTCTGGATACGGTACTTAACTCAACTTCATAATTTACATCAAGTCTCAAGTTTATTCTCGGCTCTTTGTAAATTTTGACATTACTACTTTTCCAAAATACGATTGTGATATCAACAAACATAAGCTATGTTAGTAATGATACGTAATAAATAACGAATTGATTAAGACGAATATCAACCCTGCACTTGAAATCGTTTGTATAATATTGAAAACGTAGTACGTACTACCAGTTCAAAAAATTATAATTTATAATATTTTTGTCTCACTACCAAAGTTGTGACGAAAATCAGTGAGACCTATCTTTTTGACACATAGCTGTAGTCTCTACCACTCGGAGATTGGAGAACAGATGTCATCGACGTGTGAACAGGACAAGACAAAGGAATATTGGTTCACATGCACAAAAAGAGTCAAATGATTTAGAAAACATAGTTTTTATATCAATTGCAGTGTCATTTCTCAGGATTCTTATTTGTTGTGCACATATTTTATCGTCGCCGCGCCCTTATAAATTAAAGAAATTATTTCGGAAAGGTTAGGTACAGCATAATATGTGTAAATAAAAATCCTTAGACGTTTCTTATTTCAGTGTGAGAGAAATTCCGTTTTTTTTAAATATATTATGGCAATAGTTAATTCCGTTTTTTGTGCGAGTTCTCAGCAAGACCATTTACCTACATAGATAGTAAAACTAACGCCCGATCTCCCATAGAAAATACCACAGATTATGTTGAATATTATTAGAAAAACTCACGTCACGATCACTCATAACTACACTAAATGTTATCGATGTTCAAACAAGGGATAGTTTCGCTTTTACGTCATTGTTAAAAAGGTTAACCGCTCGCTAAAATGTGGCTTATTTTAACAAAACATATAAAAATTGATTTTTTATAATGAATTTACTATTCATTTTCGTGTTTCCTGTCAAAAAATTTTACTTTTGCCAGATTTTACCTGACCTACACATTGCGTCAATTGTCAAAGTGTGATTGATATAGTTACATTCGCTATTATTAAAAAAAATAAACGGTGGCAAACGACCGGGTGGGATGTCGTTGATACCTTGGAAGATGGGACGGGCTTTTGTATAGGATTCTACTTGTGTGGACACGTTAGCCCCGTCTCACCTCCTGCGGACAAGTAAAAAAGCTGGGGCGGCCGCAGAGCAGGCGGAAAATAATTAACGGCTAAAATAAATATTCAAGTCTTTCCTCCAACTTCGATTTTGTTCCCTTGGAGTAGAGACTCTTGGGACGTGGGGTTCAAGTGCACAGGCGCTAATAAAAGATTAAAGTTGGCACCTGGTAGATAGTACCGGTGACGCCAGAGCTGGTGCTTTCCTCGCTCAACGAATAAGTATCGCAATACAGCGAGGAGATATGCTGCCAGCATTAACTCTGCCACAGATACCAAACTTTTTAAATATGTTTTAATTTTCTTTTTATTACTTTTAATTACTATTCTATGTGAAGTGTGTAAAGCTGAATTAATGACTAATATATTTGACAACTTGTTTAAATTTTTGACAGTCGCAACATAGGTTAGGACATTGGCAATGAGTTACTAAGCTCCCAATGAGTCATGCTGCCAAAGACAAAATTTTCATATAAATTTTGACAGAACGTAACTGGTTCTGTTATTTATGGACGATATATAAACAAAATTTGCATTACACAAAATGAGTTTAATTTTTACAAAATGATTAATAAGTTGTCACTATGACCATTGCTGATAGAGTTTATTATTATTATTTATTTCTCATTATTATAATTAATTGCTTTAAGATATAATGCGGAGCATGATGTAATCGTTGCAGTTCTTTACGTTTTGTAAAACAATAATAAACAGCAATTTAAAAGAATGGCGGCAATTTTATTGCCAGTCCTCGTTGAACGACTTTGAGTTGAAAGCTCAGCAAAGATACATTTAAAATGTTACCTATAGGAATAAATGATTTGATTTATACTAACGAAAAATACCGCTCGCGTTACCAACACTTTTTCATTTTATCTTATCATACTTTATGGCTAATAAGTGGACAAGTAATATTGTTATATTAACTTGACGCCGTCTGCCCTTCATACTTTGATGGACATTAATTATTTAGGCTTTCAGTAGAGCTAAATAGTGAGGTTTTGTTCAGCGTATCTATTCAAATTATCATGACGTCATGAATGTTAGACTTTGAAAGAAGACAGGACTATATTATGAAGGGTCATATGCGGATAAATTGATGTTATAAATTGGTATTTTCAATATCAAATAAGCTATTAAATCTAAAATCCCTCCATTTTTTCGATGAATATTTAAATGATTCACTCACAGCGATGATGGAGTTAATCTATTATTGAGATAAAATTCATGCAGAACTAATAAATTTAATGAAAACATTTTATTTTATTATAAAAGTGTAAGCATTTTAAATTTCCAAGAGTTTCCATTTATGAAATAATGCTGAGCGCTACTAATGCAAATTTATTAAATTTATCTATTGCTTACATAACGACGAGAGTGTTTGGCGTTTTCGCTACAATGAAAAACTTTATAACATCCTAGACGACACAAACATCGTCCAATTCATAAAGTGCACCGCAAGTGGCTGAGACATGTGCACCGAATGGCGGATGGCAGAACCCCAAGTATGAACCCCCGGTGGTATGAAAAAACCCGGTAGACTGAGGATGCGTTGGTGGGATGGAATTGCCAAGGACCTCGAAACAAAAGGGGTTCGAAATTGGACGCGGGAAGCACTGGATAGATTGCGATGGCGAAGTTTACTTGTGATTGTTGTATTATATATAATAGATTTTGTGATTATATCATGATATAGAAAAGTCTTATTACACACGCTGGTGTAATTGGAAACTTAGCTGACACCACAGCCTACTTATTGTACGCACGTGAGTAAGAAAATTTTCCCATATTGTTAATGTATTTTCATATATGTATATCAAATTCATCTTTTAAGGTATATAATTGTATTGTGATTCTCTTCTGTATGTCTCTGACAATGCATTTGTTCGGCGTAATATATATGTATATGCTATAGTTATACATGTAGATAAGATACATATATATATAGTTCTG